GGACACTCGACATAGATATAGTAGTATGTAGTATTACCATTCAACAGGTGCTTAATTACGTTAGATACCCTTGTCTGTTGTCTGGGTTGTAATCCTACACAAAGTATACATAAATTCGACTCTATTGAATGTCTAATTTAATTTAACTCCATATTTAATTTAATTAATTGATCGAAAAATATCTGTATCCGCGAATAACTGAAAATGAGAAAAGATTCGTATCCAGATCTTGACACCAAATATTAATATTAATATAATATTCGGATCCGTGTCTACGGGTATACATGTTTGACGACCCGTCACTTCGCTAATACACACACAGCGCTTGTCTTCTCTTCAGTGCTTCTATGGTGCCTGTTGAATAATTAAAGTAAATATTATATATATATATTTCTTTTTATGGCATAAGCCGGTAAACGAGCAGACGGATCACCTGATGGTAAGCAATCGGCGTCGCCCATGGACACATGGAACACCAGAGGCGTTACAAGTGCGTCGCCGGCTTTTTGGGGATTAGGAGTTTGAGGATCGTTGGGATTCAGGGATTGGGGAGATTGGGGAAGGGGAAGGTAATTGGGCCTCCGGTAACCTCACTCACACGACGAAACACAACGCAAGCGTTGCTTCACGTCGGTTTTCTGTGAGGCCGTGGTATCACTCCGGTCGAGCCGGCCCATTCGTCCGAAACATGGCCCTCCACACTTAAAAATATATGGACATTACTTTACGAAAGATACATTTTGACTCTTACCTTTTTCCTATATTCCACTATGTATAGAAGCTTATAGAATAAGAATTTAGTTATTCTTCAGCCCCGAGACTAGTCCTCGATACAGCCTTGGTCTTCAAACCCACTTAGGACATATTATTACGTCAGGTGTAACTGACAGGCAACGGCTAGGTATTATTTCGTCACGTTCAACCTGCCAATATAGTGTTAGAGCCAGTGGTTCTCAACTAGTGGGCTGTACAAGCAAATACAAAAGACATACAATCCGTATAATTCTACAGCCTAATCAAAAAGTTGCCAATTGAGAAAAAGCAAAATTGAATGTTAACGAGGATTTGCATATAACTTTATTTTTAAGAAACAAAAGGTTGCATTGCGTTGTATCTTCTCTCCTATATCTTCCTACGACTAATGTGAAATCTCAAAAAGACGTAATAACAGATTTTTCTTTTATTTAATTTCCAATTTAGAGTTTTTATTATACCTCCATAGGTTCCGAACCTTACAAGAATAATATTAAAGTGGTCGTGCACCAAGAAAAGGTTGGGAACCCCTGTTTATATGATTTAGATCGGAACCAATTAGAGCACTAGCAATATCTTTGTATCCTATATCAATATTGTTTCTTTGTTTATTGTATACCTAGACAAGTAGACACATATTAAATCTGTCTCCTAATGTCTTAATTATAAAAGGATAAAGAAGTTTAAGTGTGGGAGAGCCATGCTTCAGCACGAATGGGCCGGCTCGACCGGAGTGATACCACGGCCGAGCAGAAAACCGACGTGGCACAACACTTGCGATATGTTTCGTTCTGTGAGGGAGGTTACCGGAGGCCCAATTACCCCCCTCTCCAGTCTCCTCAATTCCCGAATCCTCTACAATTTTCAAATTCCCAATTCTCAAAAGACCAGTAACGCACTTGTAACGCCTTGTTGTTTCAGGTGTCCATGGGCGGCGCCGATTGCTTACCATCAGGTGATTAAATACCGTTTTCACCAGCCACCCTTATACCTTCTCTTAACTAAAAGTTACTTAGCGTGACGTAGCACTTAAAGTAACCCCTAAATTGTACTGTTAGGTGTCAAATAACTCCTTTTATAAATTGTGAAGATTCTTTAATAAATTATTTTTTATTTAAAGGAAGTCTGATCACCATGTAATTATATTATGTTTCTATTTAGCAGTATTAGGTACAGTAGTAGGTACCTACTGGCCCATATTATATCGTATATATTTCATATACATTTATCTCGTTTGACAGACAACTAATAACGGGTGTCGTAAATAAATGTGTTACCGAGCAAAGAAATTCGTATTTTCTTTGAAAATATCAAAGAAATAGACATTCAAACCACATCAGAGGCTATATATTACATAACGTATATACTATACAACTTGGTGAAAACATATCGTATAATAAATATATATATACGAACCTATATCATACAAATATATCAAAAACCGTCTGCGAAATAAAATGTAAATGGCATCGGCAAAAGGAGACGCGTTTACCCCACCCTGTAGCAGTACTACAATACAGCGTGTTCAATATTAAGACTTGCCAATATTAATTCTGGAAGAGATGAAATTTGAATGGAAATAAATTGTAATGTCGCCGCTGGTATTACTATTTGCTTTTAGCGGGTATATTGCAGGTTAGGGAATAAAAGTACCTAAATATATACTGTTGTATTATTGCGGTTTATTTAAATGGCTTCCCTGGGTATTGCTTTATGATTCTCTTGAAATAGAATGTTGGAATTGAAGGTTGAGTTCTATAAAAGGTAACATTTTATTTCTAAGAATATGAGAACGATATTCTCATAATATAGCACAACATGAAGTTTATGCTTACGAAGTGTTAATAGACGAAGAAAATCGACTAAATGAACGTCACTGGTTTAATTTTGTTATCGGCAACACAAGCTGTCGTGTTGAAACTGTCATCTGTCAAATGTGACAGATTAGTCACGTTTCGCGCGCAGAGTTGTAACGGCCATACGTGTTGGAAATTTGACGAGCATTATGCCTTGTTCACACGACGTTAGTAATTTAGTCGAGTTGCGAATATTTAGTAGTTCTCTCTCATTTCCATTTTGGGACCGAAGCGAAAAAAGACTATTGAATATTCGTTACTCGACTAAAATACTAGCGTAGTGTGAACAAGTCACGCTGTTTCCTAATAAGAATCTATTTTATAATAAACTTTCAATGTTTGAGTATTAAGTTTTACTTAAAATTATGATGTCTTCATGGTAAGACTTCTAAGTTTTTTTTTTAAATAGGGTTTATGATGAAGTAGGGTTTCGATAAATCGACTGATAGGACAGACATGACTGACCTATCTATAGAAATAAATCGAAATTACTCTTAAATATACATTTTTTTAAAATATTTTCTATAATGTTTCTTTAAAAAAAATAGAGGCTAAAATAATAACAATCACCTTTCCACATAAATAATAATTGATTCTAATTGTGAACTTCAGTAATGAGCATGATTCTGTCTCCCTCCAACTCTCATTATCTCTCTCCTTCGAAATAGAATGGACGCTGGCAAAATATTTTGATTTATTTCACAAAGCCGGACCGTTTAGATAGGTATAAACGGCTGCACAATAAGCTACGCCAGTCTTTTAGATTCCAATGACAATTTTCAACTTTATTGCTATAGTATAAGATTTAATATGTTTTAAAGAAAATTGAGAATTATGTATAGGTTGATGCGCTGTTGTCTACACAGTCTCGTGGACTAAATCCCGGCTCGACTGATTAATTACTCTTGAATGTACAAATATAACGCGGAATTAATAATTCTATCGATATTGGAAATCGAGAATCAATCAGAATAATTGGTCGAGATATAAATTTGAACGGGAATTAATACCGAGCGAGACTGTTCGTGTATTATAATTACTTTTTTGAAACAATGGTTCTGTTAATGGATTTATTTATTGTGAATACATCTTTCAGGATTCGAAGTAACGACTTGAATTATAGAATGTGTAAAATGACAATGAGCTCCTCCTTAATCATGAGGAAATGGGCAAAAACTGGCTACAGTGACTGCTTACCACCTGATGGCAAACAATGTTTGTTCCTACGAAAAATTCTTTAAAAAATAGAAGTTTCATTTTGCAATGCGCATTATTCGAGCATTATGACATGTTTTGACAATAAGGTAACAATCTATTTTTAGATTATTCATTCGATTGGCATTTTTTTCGAGCATTAACACCATTCATACATTTTATAATTCTCACATCACATCAACAGCCTATAAGCGATCACAGCTAAACCAAAACCTTCGCACGCTAGAAGGTTTGAGCATTAATCACCACGCTTGCTCAATGAGAGTTGGCGATTTCAAACTAATAATTTAGGAATTATAAGCCCAGGTTTCCTCTCGATGTTTTCCTTCACCGTTTGTCAGTGGTGTCTAAATGATCTAAAAAAGTACATATAACTAGGAAAATGGTACATTATTTTCAATTCTACCATGATTAATGAGAAATACTGAAAAATGCTTTGTACAATTACATGAGCAAATGGATTAACTGCTGAAACATTTAATTCGATTCACAACTGCTGATGTATGGAAAGTCAGTTCACTTTAAATGATTCAGTGTGCGCGGCACTGGACAAAGGATGGATGAGAATGCAATGAAGTATTTCAACTGATTGGTATCTACAGTGTTGTAGATAATGGAATTTTTAAAAAGTGCATGAATAGTACAGTAGTTACTTATTAATGTTATAATCAACTAAGTATTATTCGCTGGTGATTTTATGTTTATGGGTGTAAAAGATATCAGAAAACTGACGGAAAATCTATACATATACATTTTTTACAATATAATACTTTGACAATTTAAACTCTAAATTACCTAATGAAATTATAAATTGCAATTACTGAGAATGAAATGTAAAGTGAGAGCCATAAATCCTTTTTGTATCTGAGTTTTTAAAACAAAACCAACACGGTGTCTATGGGGGCTAATAGGCGCGCCATTAATGGGATTGGGATCCATAGGATTTATTGCATAACTCGCAGAAAGTGGATTTTCGACGCACCTCTGTGTACCCCTTGGATAGGCGGTAATGTATAATATAAATGTTTATTTCATTCAGCCGAATTATATACTTGGCTGGTTCTGTAAGCCACGGACAAACAAATTAAACACAAGCCTTCTCTTCTGACTTTGTACCAGCCATTAACTTATCATTACGAGCATGCCATTTGAATAAAAACAAATAGAAGGATTTGAATATTTTTAATGGCGACATTAATTTTTACTTAACCACAGGCTAACGTCGTCGTCTCTTGAATAATTCTAAACAACTTTTTACATTCAAATAAATCGTTTTAGGTATACTATAATACATTTTATTTGAAATCCAAAATTAACTTAAATATTTTGATTCTATTCTATAATAAACGTAACTACAGTTTGTACTTTATTTAATTTATAGCTGGCAACATTGTAAGTATAAAGTGTTTACCACAATGAGCTTGGCACGGCTTCAAATTCACGATCGATTGACCGGAATCCCAATTAGTCATTGAACCAATTGTAATGACACTAATCACATCTTATTTAAAGACAATAAGTTTCGACATCGCTTCATCTGTTGCTATAAATAAGGAATGATTAACTAACATGTTCTTTTATAATAGTATTCATGATAAATGCTAAATATATGAAGGGGATAATTGAGCATTCATCATTGGCAAGTGGAATGGTACCTAATCTAATACCCATCTGCTTTCGTCACTCAATGTCTGTCCCACCAAGGACTAGACAAGAGTAAGCATGTAAACAAGGTTAAGGAACAATGAACCTTTTATCTTTCGTTATTAGATTCGGAATTCTCCAAATTCTGTCCCTCGTCACTTAAGATACTGTCCAAGATATTGTCTTCGTCACTTCTCGCCGCCACGTCACCTGCTTTGCCCAGCACTTCATTTAGTATTTCATCGTCATTCAGTTCACCATTTACCATTTCGACATTGTCACTATCTACGTTATTTTCAACTTGTTCACTTTCTTCAGGTACTTGATTGTCGTCTTCAGCTATTTCAGAAACTGGACTTAAATCACTAGGTTCTACTTCTTTGGTTTTAGTTTCTTCTGCTTCAATCATTTCCTCACTAATTTCTTCTGTCACTTCTTCTTTCTCGTTTATGTTTATTTCTTCATTCTCATCATCAGCTACATCTCCATCCATTTCTTCTTCTTCGATTCTTGTTGACTCTTCCTCTTCGTTCTCCTTAGATTCGTCTATTGTTTCCTGTCGTTCCACCTTTAATGTTGATCTTCTAGACTTTTGTCTGGGAGCTTCTTGTTGTTCTTCGTCATGATCATTCTTGTTAACTGATACATCATCACTGGCATCTGATGCTTCGCTTGCTGCGTATCCATTCTTTAAACGTTCTTGTCTTTCTTTCCTAGCTTTTTGTTTGACTTCCCACAGTGAAGGTATACGTTTCGAGTTATCTTGATTTTCTCCATCCGCGTGGTATAGAACAATGTCGTCGGTGTATCGGAGTACTGGCTGTGGTGGATATTTGTCCCTGGAAGAATAAAATAATTATTATTTAACGAATCAAAGTGATCGAAGAAGTGGTTTAAAGGGTTTGGAAGGACTTTGGCAAACTGTTGACGTTGACAAAATCTGTTATAGAATTAATGAGGATTTTGGTTTCTGGAAATAGACATTATAAAGATACAAACATGAACCGTAAAAGGAATTATAATAAGTAGGTGCGTTAGACTTTAGACAATATTTGGATTACAACACAGGTAGAGATATTACAAGGTTTCGGAGTAGGTGCGAATGAATACATTTCTGGCACCTTTACAGACGCGAGATGACAACTTGTTGATACACTAATGACGGTCCTAAAATTCTAGATCGGAGTCAGTGTCGGAGTCCCAGCTAAAACAAAACATGAGTGAGTAGTAATAGCATAATGATTATAAATATTACAATTATATTTTGATACTATATTATGTAGAAATAGTTTTTGACCATTCTTTTTCTTTTTCATCTCAGCCGGCTTACTCATGACAGAGAGGTCATCGTTCAATGATTACAGGGTCACTAGTATATTTTTGATAAATGTTCTATCTTATACTATAACTAGCGACCCGTCCCGGCTTCGCACGGGTGCAATATGCATGTATTATACATACAAACCTTCCTTAAGAATCACTCTATCTATTAAAAAAAACCGCATCAAAATCTGTTGCGTAGTTTTAAAGATCTAAGCATACATACGGACATACAGCGAAAGCGACTTTGTTTTATACTATGTATTGATGACATTATTTGTTACCCTATTAATCATTGGGTTTTTCGACTCTTTAATAACATCACGCCTTTTATCCCCGAAAGGGTACGCAGAGGCGCATATTATGCCACTGTAAAATGTAAACTTTTCACTATTTACTTAAAAACCCAGTAGTAATACTTTGCCCGACCCGGGAATCGAACCCGAGACCCGGCAGTCGCACTTGCTAACACTCGGCCAACGAGGTAGTCAATTATAGAATAGAAACTTAGGCAAAATATACATGGACCAATTTCTATACTCTGTACTATGGCAATGCTATTTAGTTAATATTATATACATTGAATCTATAGTCATGATCATTTTTGTAATTGCTTCCTATTATATCTTCCTATCTGTCCCCGAAGGGGTAGGCAGAGGTGTATATTAGGGCACTGAATGCCACTGTGGTTATGCCATAAGTGGCAATTGCAACCACTTGGCAACAACAACAACAGTTACTATATATTATATACCCAATTCTCCATGTTTGCACACAGATAAATGAATTTGAATATGAATTGGTTAAATATTCCTCACCTGCGTGCTTCTTCATATTTGCTGGGCACCATGAAACAGTTCGATTCTCTGTATATAAGCCTTCGCTTGCTGACCCAAGGCCACTGTAAACTCCAGTAGTGACTCTGAAAAATTATTTCCTAAGGTTCAGAAGTCGTTTTATACGTAGAGGTACAATTTATAAAAACGTAATGTATGCCAGATGCCTAAAAATATTTAATAAAAGACTAGCTTCTGCATGTGGCTTCACCCGCGGTCCCATGGAATAAAAAGTAACCTATGATAATTATTATGTTATTCCAAAGTTCAAGACTATAATATTTTTGACGTGAAGGAGTAACAAAGAAACATACAACCTTCGCATCTATACATATAAAAATGAAATCCATTTCCCGTTGTCACGCCATAACTGGAGAACAGCTTGACCGATTTGGCTGTTTTATTTTTGTTGTGTTTATTATTATCAGGAGAAGGTTCTTACGACAGAATTGAAAGGAACGGGAGAAAACGGGATTGCGCGTACGAAGTCGCGGGCAGAAGCTAGTTTATAATAATATTATTAAAATGATTAATATATCACCATCCCTAATATTTCTGAAGAGAGAGGAGATATATTTTACATACAACAATTGAGTACCAACTAAGTCAAAGTCAAAGTCAAAGCATTTATTTCAATTAAACCATAGTTTGGTACTTTTGAAACGTCAACAAATACAAAATAAATAATAGTCTGTCAGTCAGTCCGTCAGTGAAGCTAGGTGAAGCTAGGTGCTCATTCCAAAACGTAGATTCGAATGGAGAAGAACGAGCAAGAAACTCCATTCGTTACTCTTTTAAAAAAGTATGTTCTACAATGTCTCTGATACATATTTCAATACTGTACGCATATGTAAGAACAATGCAAAGACACGCTTGACGCATCACACTAAGAACTTCCTAAAATAAAAATAAAAATAATAAAGATCTTAAGTCTAACATGGTGCTCACATATGCATACTGACAATCCATAGAAATAGTGCCTCTATACAAGAAAAAGGAAACTCTTCGTTTCAATAAAGAAAGAAATGCTCGATGCCATAAGGAAACTAGATTGTCTACATTAGAATTAAAGTATTAAATTATGTATTATATTACCTACTATTGGAATTTAACTACTGACTACATTTGAGTATTGTCCAGTGGAGCCGAACCAACATGCTGCCAAGCATTCTTATCTTCAAGATAATCTGTCAGTGTGTAGTAAGCTTGATTACATAATTCGCGCTTAATATATGTTTTAAATTTACTTTCATTGAGATCTAGTATGCTATTTGGTATTTTATTATAGCATTTAATACCTAACCCCATAAAGGATTTCTGTACTTTGGACAGTCTGAATTGCGGTACAGCTAACTTATTTTTGCCTCTAGTCTAGTAATCAAATTCAATACTTTTTTCGAACTGTCAAAAACGACAGTTTTTTATGAATTTTGTACGAGATTGTGTATCGTGACGTCACGTTTTTTTATCGTCAAACAACATACTTAGTTCTTAAAAAAATGCTGGAAAAATACTAAAATTAAGTTATTCATAAAATGAATTAATGAAAGTGTGATTATTTTTTTATATTTTATTGTATTGAACAGTCGAAATAATTTATTTATAATTATATAAGGCAAGTACTCAATTAGTAAAAGTATCAAGGCAAGACTTTTAAAATATAGTAATTCACAATCCAATAACACGTGGTTACATTTTTTTTTTCTTTTTCTTTTTTTTTAACTTTGCCCCACACTAGGATTTTCTCCTGTGTCGTGGGTGCGTTTACAAACATACAAGTTCACATACGCAATGACATCCAGACCCGAAACAACAATTTGTGGATCACACAAAGTGTTGTTCCGTGCGGGAATCGAACCCGCGACACGTTGCACGGCGGCAGCCGGTTGCCCAGCCACCGCACCAACCGTGCAGTCAAAATTACTAGAACACTTTAATTTACTAAAATACCAAACTTTATATAAATAGAAATTATAATCGAGACACGACAGTTTTGATTGATGAAGCATGTTTTTGTTAACTCAGTAATATTCGTTGAAAGTTTTATAAATGAATTGTAAATACCTACATAATTCCTGTTCCACATAAAAATGCTGGTGGAATTCACGGAGCTGGTATTTGCATAATGATCAAATTGTTGTGTTTCTATTAACTATTTAAAAGAAAATCCTTTTCACTATTAACTAAATTAAAATTATGAATCCTACTAATATTATAAATCCGATAGTTTGTTTGTTTGTTTGTTTTTTACTCCTTCACGTCAAAACGGCCGAAGGGATCGTACCACAGATATAGATCTATATTTGTGGATCGTACTACGAGTAACGGGTACGCGGGCAAAGCCGCTAGCAGAAGCAAGTAAGTTATTTCTTTAGATGACAAGGTAACCATTAGGTGATCGATTGCTAGGTATCATACATAATATACTAGGAGATACGTAGGCGTATCATCTGCGTGCCCTGAGAAAATCTCAATGGAAAAATAACTTCAATAACAATAATTATTATTTTTTTACTTATATTCCATAGCAACGAGTTACTATCTTCTGGTGTTATAGTAAAATTAAACTGTCAGTAAGTCTTTAATGACTATTTATAGAGAGTATGTGAATAAGAAAATTCATACATACCACTCTAGCGCACACCCTTCTCTTCTTGGCCTTCTCTTCTTCCAGTCTCCTCTCCTCCTCACTGTCGTAACCATCGACCTAAACAATAAGGTGCACTAAGTTATAGCCTGACTACGGTATTAAAGAAGAAACCTACTAAAAGTCATTCCGAGATGCCGAACCTTTTTTTTAAGGGAAAAAGTCATCCAATGACTTTTCCCGCCTTAGGTGAGGCAGAAGGGAGTGTCAGACTCTTACTGACTAAAAACCACCCCGTTCCTACTACTGCTCTTCGAGCCGGAGCCCTGACAACCCGTCAGGCCTTTCACGGCTCCGTATCACGCATCAGCCCTACTGGGCCCCATCTGTGGTGATCTGATGGCTCTTTGAGGCGCGTGGAACGCGACCCGACCCCGAGCCTTGATTTCTGGTGATCATCATGATCAGTTTCAGAACATAGCGAACATCCCAGTTAAGTCACCGAAACTTTTAAAGATGCAACTGGACATACCTGGTTCAAAATTATGTTATTTTTATATTTGACTAGCGACCCGCCCCGGCTTCGCACGGGTGCAATATGCATGTATTATACATACAAACCTTCCTTAAGAATCACTCTATCTCTTAAAAAAAACCGCATCAAAATCCGTTGCGTAGTTTTAAAGATCTAAGCATACATACGGACATACAGCGAAAGCGACTTTTATACTATGTATTGATAGTCTGACGTTCGACCACTATCTCATCTGGTGGTAAGCGATGATGTGGTCTACGATGAAGTACGTCGGTCCATAAGCAACCTATTTCTACTAATAATGAGGTAAATTAATAATTTTCCCAATCCTGGATACGAAATCAAATACTCATTCTCATAGCACAAACTCAATACTAACTATTCAATGAAAGTTTGAATAGCACATTGTCACAAGTAAATCAAATCTCTGAATAGTAATTAAACATTGAATAAATGTTCGTATAAACACACCGTAGTTACATATTACGGCACCAACAAGTTTACAAAGGAAATAATTGTTTCAGTAGAAACTTGATTACAGTCAGGCTGAAACGACATAATTGTTCACTATAGTTCAGGGATACAGAGCTTTGAATGAGATACAGAATTGTGCCAGTATATCGCTACAACGCTTCAAGCAGATGTCTTGTAAAGACTTTATGTTCTTTCAAAATAAGCATTATTTAATTTCAACTCTAATATTTCACTTTTGAATAAAATAAGTTATGATACTATTATTTTGCCATTAATAGCAATTAGTTACTATTTTCCCAGGATTTAACATATTTAACAACTGTAACTTAAACTTACTATGGGATCCTCATAGCAGTAGTAGGCATCTTCTTCATCATCTGGCCTGTAAATGAGAAATAAAAACATTAATAAAATTGCTATACCTATACGAAAAACTATACTGCTAAGAAATAGAATTCTTTGCCGGAGTCTGTTTAAGTCTGCCGTAGTTTATTGGTATCTTATGATGAACAGTATCTCAACCTCTTGAATAAACATTTGCTTTTCGTTTGTCTTTGATAACATAAATCGTCGATCAAGCTTCCTTGTGTGCTAAGGAGTGGAATTCTTTGCCAGAATCTATAATTTCTGAAGAGTATTTTTTTTTTTAATGGGGGAAAATCATCGAATGACTGCTCCCGCCTGGGTGAGGCGGGAGGGAGTGTCAGACTCTTACTGACTAAAAATTACCCCGTTCCTTCTCCTGCACGTCGAGCCGGAGCCCCGGTTACCCGTTAGATTCTCCGCGACTCCTGAAGAGTATAACCTGGGTATCTTCAAGGCCCGAGTTAATAAGTTGCTTATGGGACGACGTGCTCCATCGCAGACCGCATCATCGGTAAGGCGAGATCGAAATCAAATCGGTCAAACGTTGACCAATAAAATATAAAAAAAAACTTCAAGCAAAACTAAGTGACGCAAAAAATTTCTTTTTTAACTAGTCCCTGCCTGGTAACTGGGCCTGCAGATGTCTTTGATATTAAGATATAGAATGAAAATGGATTAAAGTTAGGTATGGGAAAAGTTTCACTATTGAGCAATTTTTTGATGACGGGATTCAAAAGACGCCTAGGTTTTTGACTAGGGAGTCTGGTATTTTTACCTCACTATAACCACCTCTGTAGCCACCCTCATCAACACCTGTAGGGGACACCTGATACTCTAATCGACTTGCTTCGGAGTTTACTACTGAGCCTAAGTTCTCTCCCACTACCGACTATACTCACGAGGTGACAGACAGCTTCAGATGGATTCCAGACTCGACGATAATGTCATGAGCCTGCTGGATGGTGAGAGTCGAGGTGTCCAAGTCATTGATCCGCAGTAGCTTGTCTCCAGGCCGAATACCAGCTTTCTCAGCTCTGCTGTCTGGTTTCACCTTTACGAATTGAAATAATATACATCAAGTAAAGAGTATTTATATCTCGCCTCCATAACTTTGTGTTCATTGCTTTTTACTTTTATACACGAATACAATGATTTTTTTATAGGATAGGGTGTCAAAACACAAGACAGATAATCTGATAGTAAGCTATCAGACTCTCGGTCACTTATTTATACCCGCAACACCAGAGGGGATATAGGTGCGTTGCTTGCATTTTAGAGGTAAGGGAATTCTCATTTCGATTATTAAAGGTATAATTAAAGAACTTTGAAGTGTTCTACTTACGAAAGTAACTCGCAACGGAGTCTTATAAAATATTCCACCAGCTAGATCGAAGCCCCATATAGTGTCTTCAAAGCTGACCCTCTCGTGGATGCCCTCATTTCTGGACTCCCAGGAGGGTTTGTTCAGTTCGCCTGCCAGGAGAGCTGCCTCCTCAGCCTTCAGTTTCGTGTGTCTCATCGAAATCGCCATGTCTGGTGGCATTACCCTGAGGACAAGAATATGCACATATTCGGATTAAATAGTATTTTTGTGATATTGAAATAACTGAATATTAAGTGACAATGCTTGGGTTTTGTCAGTTTTTGCGATAGTTTTACTCATAAAACTCACGGTGGTGTTTGTTCCTTGGTCACTGACTACCTTTGACAAAGTACTCTACTTTGAACTAGAGTACACAAACTCATATATAAATTCATACATTCGATACAGTCGTTATTCCATAAGCCCATCTAATAAATGGCTGTCTATACATCAATACGAAGACGTGTTTCATCCCTCATGACAAATGACGTCACTTCCTACATACAGACAGGAGTAGTTGATATACTTAATACTTGACATAAAAAGGGTGTATTTTAAGTTACTGCAAAAAATATACGCACTTGGGGGCTTCTTTAGCGGAATGTTAGTCATTTTGTTGAAAAATTGTATACAATTTATTTCAGATATTAAGTTAGGCAAAGTAGGCGCTGCGGTCTGAAGATCTTGTGTAAAATATTGAAGTAATTTTCGTAGTGTGGCATAACGATCATCCTATCTTACAACGCCCTGTATGTGGCAGTTACGAATACCAATTTATGAAATACTTAGCTTGTGTCGTTGGTAGGAAAATGGAAAATTGACAAGATGATAGACTGCCTCGCTAGTCAAAAAACGCCGACACTGTAGGTCACTGATATAAATGTGTTGTGGATATTAAATAGATTCCTTTACACAATTTACTGTAAATGTAAGAGTCCTGCAATTAATTAAATTAAATTAGACTAGTAAAATGCATTTGCTCAAAGATCTCATTGGCGGTGGCGCGTGCAGTGGATCGCTCGATTCCCTACAAAATGGTTGAGTTGGGCGGTACTGGGGTACGTGTCATGTTCGTGAACGGGCGCCGTCAATTGGGACTGGTCAGCTCCAGACTGTATGATTTTATCGTCCTCAAGGTTATTTTCTTTTTCAATCTCTTTGACTGGATTTAGGTGTTGCATTGTTCTCACACAATCGAACCAACAAAACTATGTAACTAGAGAATTGTATTATAAACCCGATTGAAAAAGAGTAACCTATGGAGTTTCTAGCTCGTTCTTCTCCATAGGAATCTACAACTTGGAATGAGCAACTAACTTCTAAATTTTTGTTGTTGACGTTCAAAAGTGCCTTCCTAGTCTAATTGAAATAAATGATTTTGACTTGACTTTGACTTTGACCTGAAATGAAAGTAAGATCAGTTACTATCTGTGTGAAGAACAAAATTAATAATGTTACGTTAAATATTGTTTGTAGAAAAACATTAATATTACAATTATATTTCCACGAACGTATACAGGACAAACAAATATTACAATCGAGTCTTTGTTTAAATATTACGGGTAGACTAATACATGAGTCTGAACATGGCCGACTGATTTTAATAAAGATATTTATAAAATAATGTCCTTGTTCGTCTGAAGGATATTTAAATCAAATGTTGTAAGCACTGCCCCTTAAGGCAAGACGGCGGTGACTGGTGTGGCCATGAAAACCGCGAAAAACCTAAGGAAATAAAAAAGAAAAGAAAACATTTAAGCTAATATAGACAATACTTAACAACATTTTTGGTTTTCATCAACTTACGTGACAACTGAGGGTGCCGGTTCGAAACCTACCAACGGCAAGTACCAATGTAACTTTTTCCGAGTTATACTATGTACTTTCTAAGATTATCTAGACACTACTGACAAATGGTGAAGGAAAACATCGTGAGGAAACCTGGGCTTATAATTTCTAATTATAAGTTTGTAATCGCCAGCCCGCATTGAGTAAGCGTGGTGATTAATGCTCAAACCTTCTCCGTGTGAGAAGAGGCTTTGCTTAGCAGTAGGTATTTATAGGGTGTTGATAAGGTTGATGATTTTTTTATAACATAAACGAGCAGGCGGATATCCTAATGGTAAGCAATCGACGTCGCCCATAGACACCTGGAACACCAGAGGCGTTACAAGTGCGTTACCGGCCTTTTGGGGATAAGGAGTTTGAGGATCGTTGGGGATTCAGGAATTGGGGTGATTGGGAAAGGGGAGGGTAATTGGGCCTCCGATAACCTCACCCACACGACGAAACACAACGCAAGCGTTGCTTCACGTCAGTTTTCTGTGATGCCGTGGTATCACTCCGGTCGAGCCGACCCGCTTAGATAAGAGCCTCATAAAAACGACCATTATTTACGTATTATTATTTTGTTTTACGTTTTAAACCTGACCTAACCCAGGTTAGGTGAACGTACGACTGATGAAGAAAGTGAAGGTATGGCTAGGCATACGTTGCCTTTTACCTATTTCCAATACATTTCTAAAATTAAATTCAGAAGAGTAAGGTGACGTAAGCCATTCGCTCGTTTCTTGGCCACAATTTTGAAATCCAGTATACAACACGGCACCTGTTTGACATTTCGGCTACACCCTAACTCCAGGCACTCACTAATAAGAGGAATAACTTCAAGTGATATTCCTAAAGCGTTTTGTCGGCCATATCGAAAATGTATCATTATACCTCAAGTTTTGTTAAAAATAACTTTTTTTGTCTATAAGGCTGTCTTTAATTTTTTTATAACGTTGTTTTAACATTAGGATTTTCTCCTATGTCGTGGGTGCGTTTACAAACATACAAGTTCACATACACAATGACACCCAGACCCGAAACAACAATTTGTGGATCACACAAAGTTTTATTCCGTGCGGGAATCGAACCCGCGACACGTAGCACGGCAGCCAGTTGCCCAGCCACCGCACTAACCGTGCAGTCAATTATCTTTTGTCTAGAAGTTTGTTAGTTTTACATAGATTCTGTTTTAATATACCCCAAGTTAGTGGGTGGCTTAAAACAAACAAAACTAACTTATAGTACGAGAGATGACGACCAAAACCATGCCTCATAGCAATATGGCAAAAACCCTATAAAATCGTTAGATTGTATGATTCTGAACCCGACTAGGTGTGTAGTAACGGTCGAAAGTGTAGCAACTGCGTGGGAGGCCATTTCTGCTGTGTCAAAAATATCTGAGTATCGAAAAGTTGTCTGATAGAGAAGGTGCTACACTTATTTTGTCTGATATACATTTTTTGCACATGTGGACAACTTATTTTATCATGTCCAACAATTTTCAGACATATTGCCATGATACCGATCGGTAAAATTTGTTAACATTTTCAAAACGGTCTCAATATTTAATGCGTTCACATTTCCGTCTGAAAATTGTTTTGTTCGCATCAAATAACCAAAATTTACTAATAAAAAAGGTTTTCAGACGTATTGCTATGAGACATTTTTTTGTCTGGTGTTTTTGTGGTCAGATCAAATGCTACACGGAAAATGTCTGATATTGGTATTTTCGAGTTCAGGATAATCGTATCTATATATTTGAGGCAGTTTTGGCCGTATTGCTATGAGACAAAAATTTTGGTTGTCATCTCTCTAACTATTATATACCTCTAGAGTGGCGTTACTCAAATAATATTTATGTATATCTTAAAGCTTTAATAAATGCATCTCTCAGTGAGTATATTTCTTGAGCCTTTTTATTTCATTTCTTTTAAAAACATTTCTCACTACACAATTGCGTATAAGACAATACTTAAGTAACATATTACATTTATAGCTGACACGAATGGCAAAAGAATGCATGCATATTGTTTGCTACGAACTTTGCTACGGCGTAGCTCGGAATGCTACGAAATTGTGCTACGCAAATGGAATGCTTTGCTACGTAAAACGTTATTTATGTTCTTGACAAATTCTTGACGTATATTAATTTATTGTTATTGTGTTTAATTTCTATTCTATTGACTACATGACTTACTTTACAATGAAGATTTACGCATAATTTAGTTTTTTACCCGACTTCAAAAGAATTAGGTTCTCAGTTTGACCTGATCGTGTGTTTGTCCCCGATTATCTCGCGATCGGCTAAACCAATTTTGATGTAATTATCAGTAAAGTGTATGTTACAATTAGGAATAGGTTTAAGAACATTCACCGACTAAGAAAGTAAATTAATATTGGTTTTCTTCATAGAAATTATTATAGTCATTACGTATGCGGCATCATTAATTCCTGGCTATTTAAATCAGACGCCCACTTGCATGTCACTCTTCTAGCTCATTCAGAAGTATTGACAAGTTGTCACCAGTATATTTATAGGCCACTATTATAAGTGGATGCCATGCTCGGTGCGTGGCGTTTGTTTGATGCCAATGCACCTTTTGACATCGCTTGGACATCTGCCCACCTACAAAAGGAAGAAAATGATGACAAATTATAGAATTTACTGCTTGAGCCAGGTAATTTGTGGAAAGTATCTCAAGTGGAGGCAGAGACTGTAATGAGTTAAATTCTTATTGTTGTTTCTATCTCGTGAACATACTACAGAGTCTAATTTAATATCTATTGCACAAAAAATGCTTTTATTACGTTTCGATTTTCGACAATGGATGCAACTGGCGAGTTACCGTTCGACGTGGTGGACTAAAGGGGTGGCCCTTGTCCAGAAGTGGACGTCTTCGGGCTGATGATGTTGATGACAATTTTCGACATCAATCACATTAACTTACAGTAAATCAAGCAAATATAAAAAATATATAAATAAAAATGAATGTCCGTTCGTTTGTCTCGCTAAAACTCGAGAACGGCTGAACCGATTTTGCTAGTTTTGGTCTTGAAATGTTCGTGGAAATCCAGGAAAGGTCTGATAAATGAGACAAAAGGCGGCACGAAGTTTGCCGTGTCAGTTAGTCTTTCAAATATTATCCTTACAATCAAACTGTGGTCGTTCAGCTACCTTGAGGGACACACTGCTCCCTCCTATCACTGTAATACCCAACAGATTGAATATATCTTTCAATGATCATTAATGACTGTACATAGCACATCAACGCCCAATGCTGAATGATCTATTTACAGCTTAGATTAATTATGTTAATTAATAACAATCCAGGTTGGATTCCTTTGGTACTAGGAGTGATCTCATTGGATGCTGAGCTATGGAGGAGGAGTCTTTGGGATAGGTATGATGGTACGATCACATGTGTGAGTGTACATACATACACACGACAAAGCTAAACAAAGCCAGTATAAAGTGACCTTTCAATGTGCGGAAAGATCATACAAAGCTAAACTGTTATAAATTGGTTTTGCATAGGTCGATGTCTAGTCGTGTAAATATTTTTTGTATTGGAACAAGGTTTTCTGAAAGACTGATTAAATTTCAATAATGATCGTAATGTGCTTAAATAATCTTTTTATTTTTTTTATATTTGATGGGTCAATGTTTGACCGCTTTCGCGCCTATTACTATTTGTTTGTATATATATGAGTTTGAGTACGTATAATTAAGATCTATTAAATATCTATCGAGATTAATAGTGAAGTACATAATATTTAATGTATCTAGGATATAATTTCAATTTGTTTTTAGTGGAATATAGAATTGAAGAGTTCAGCAGCGTGTTATGAAAAGGGACTATGTCCAGCAGTAGACGGAAGCTAACTGATGAATATTAGGATAATATGCAATAGACATAAGGCACTGACATGTTAACATACGTAAGTTATGTTAAAACACTAAGTTTAAGTGGTCTAACAAAACGAAATTATAGTTATCAGTAACATGAGGTCAGGCTGAAACTGAGCGATCATTATTCAAGATAAACTTATAAAAACTTTACAGTTCGTTTGCTTGAGTGAATATTACTATAATCTATATTAAGTACTGATCACCTGGAACGCCTTATCGCATAAAAGACACCACTACTATCCACACAGACTTCATAAAATGTAACATTTCTAAAAGATACCACCAAAACAAAACAAATCAAAACAATTTACCTAGTCGCAGTAACACAGTAAACAAGAACTCCACTACTTCACTAACTATAAACGCACTCACTGTTCACAAGTCACTGGTTGACAATCACACCTACGGTGAGCTCACCTCAGCAGATCGAGGTAGATTGAGTGGCGCTGAATCACACAATACAAAGAACATCAACTACCGAGCCAATTAATATTGATTTAGAAACACGTGGGCGTCCGACCATCAATGCCCACCGGTCTATCAGAAGGGTCGAGTGCACTGTCATCCGTTTGCTAATTACAAATTTGGTTTAATAAACGGCTGTTAAGACAAATGAGAGACAAAAGGTTAATTAAAGTTGCATGAGGTATAGAACTTTGGTCATCATTCCTTAGGTTTAGCAAATAGTTGACCAATAATACGTAACTAAATCAAAAAGGTTTAGGTGTGAAACGAACAGCTAGGCTGTTACTGTCAATCCGAACTTTCGAAGTGAGCTCTATTGCATTCTCGCCCGTCATCGGTCGAGATTATTCTCACAATTAATGACATGGCGGCTCGCTATGAATTTCACTTCAATCTTTCGAATTGAAACTTACAGAATAGCCTAACAGGTGTAATATGTACGTAAAATTTGTAAACGAGGTCCTTCAACGTGAAGGACTAAGGGAAAGGCCGACGTCAGCAGTAGACGTCTTCCAGCTGTTGATGATAATGACGAAACGTACCCACGGTACAGGACTTAAACAAGTAGGGTCTACGCTTTATAAAAAGGAAAGAATCAACTTTATTGAGGACCAAAAATGGAATAAATATTAGGCTTGGCATAGTAACATAACATCACGCTTTTTTATCCCCGAAGGAGTAGGTAGACACTTAGTTTAGTCTGGCATAAATTACCCATACTTAACAGTAGTTTAAATGTTAAACTAATTATGAGGTAATCAGCCCCCAATTCGATTTATTATGAATGGCGAGTGCTACGCAACAATGATTGTAGGGATACGTAAATATAATACTTTTAGTCATATACTTCATTTTTATATCATAGGGTAAAGGTACCTATTTCTCCTAAGTTATTTTTCAAATGCAAATGTTTAAAGCTTCGAGTTAATAACTTACTATTCATGTGTGTGTGAATCGACAGTTGTCCGTGTCTTTTTTTTTGTGAAATTACTGTCTTTAAGTTTTCAAGTAAGGTTATTAAAATGGAAAATGACATCTATAGACCATGAATAGGACACGGCACTGTTAATTTTTTTTTTTTTGTGCGTTACCAATATTATTGTACATCATATTTTAATTTTTGGGTTACATGCAACAGATACATAATTTAGTGTTACAATCACATAAAGGTAAATTATACACGTGTAAAAAGATTGTATAATTTATAAAAAAACCCACACGACCCCAACAGACAGCCATTTGACAATACTTTAATTGATATACGAAGTGAGTTTACGTTACCTAATTAGGAAAGTAATAAAAATTTACCTCTATTTCAAAACTAAACAAACATTGTCAAAACCAAACACAAACAAGTTTCAAACAGACATAATCTAAATTAACCTTCAACTTAAATAGAAGTAAGCCGAAATAGATTAAACAAAAGATTTCATAAAAGACTAAAACAATAGCGTCCAAAAATAGTATTCACAGAGACAATAACTAAGCTAAATTAATTTGTCAGGCGCAAAACTGGTACCAACCGTCTCATTTTAGTTTGTATTGTAATGTCGCAACAGACCTTAGTTGGCCACGTAAAGGTGCCTTTACCCTAGTGTCACGTGGCTGGCCGATGAGTTTATTTCCTTTTCACTCATTAACTATTTCGAAACTTGTGATGTTTGAGAATGCCTGTGGGTGTGACTAAGGACACTTTCACATCACATCGAATAAGCGTGCAGTGTGCGGTGACGTCATATTTCTACACTTGGAAGCAAAAAAAAAGATGCACGGCAGTCCAACTTGCGACCACTCGGCCAAAGAGGCAGTGCTCTCATTTAAAAGGGAACTAAATTGTCTTTTATTAGACAAACGTTACAATTTAAATACCATTCCAAAATCCGAGTTAATCAAGAGGCTTAATCCCTTTCCCCAAAAGGCTAGCAAAGCACTTGTAACACCTCCTCTATAGGCCGCTGCCTAAAGACACATCATCCGTAAGCTAATATGCCGCTACATTTCATAAAAAATAAAGTATTTCCTGTGCCTGGCTATGGAATCAACCTCGGGACCAGTTCAACTACGTGACTAACGAGGCAGTGAACAACATTGTTTTTTATTAATATACTATAAGTTAGTCCCTATATGCAGTGAAGGGAGGCTGTCAATCAACCACAAGTACGTGCGGTACTCCAATAAATATGTTCCATTCATGAAGATCCGACTTCATTGTAGTGTCAAACTATAACATGTTAAACATAATATATGTGCACTTTGATTGATTACATTTCCAACTGCCAAAATAATTAAGAACACAATAATATGATACGATAAACATAAGAATTTTGATAAAAACTAGGCTTACATCAGGAATCTTTGATTGCAAATAATCTTAGTACGTCGTACTTTCCGCCGGTGTGTCGTCATCGTACGAGCCGACTAAGGGACCACACAGTACACACATTTCTCAGATGTCATGCTTCGGGCCCCGCTTTCTGATAAACCTGACTTTTATGACCTTTCTCCAACCTGCTTACTTGGCGATTATGACAAACCCTCATAAGTCGATGAGGACTTATAATCCATCAGTGAACTGGGTGAATGTGTCATGTGCCGTTGTAGCCTGATATTAACAAAACAGAAGGAGATTATACCTTAACAAATGAATATAATTAAAGAACAATAAAATTAAATTCACTCAGAAATGTTTAGATACAAATTGGCTAGCATAAATCAGTCAGATAGTTATGAAGCCACGCCGAGCGCTTCCCGTCAGGCAAGTATGACACGACGTCCGCATTCTACTGTCCCGTACGTATATGTTGCAACACAATAAACGATTTCTAAATATTATATTCACGCTTGATCTCATTGGGGGAGGAGCTGCTTTGATTTGTTTTACCGTTACAGCTCAAAACTCCGGATATATTTTGCTAATACAAAATGTCATGTCGATAGTCGAAGGGTGTGGTCAACAATTCCGAAAATGAAACCGTGAATCACACTCCACCTAATAACATACTAGCTTCTGTCAGCGGTTTTGTCCGTGCTCCCGTCGAATAAAACGCAGCCTATGTGTTTTTATTCAATATTTATAACTATAATCCACCTCTGTTTCAAATTACGTCCCGATACCTTCCGTTTTGACGTAAAGGTATACGTCAGACTGGTAGTAAATGCCTGCGGTATTAAATCTACCTATTTGTACATTTTGTGCATGAAGCACATTAAATAAATAAATAAAGAAGTAAGAAATAATAACTATACAACTTTTCGCATTTATAATATTAGTGAGATAGCATAAGTTAATACTTATACTAATAGTATAATACTAAAATGATAGATTCAAGAAATTTATAATAGAAGAACCTAAAAACATGCTTTTAATTGTACGTATGTCCTCGTCAACAAAAGAAATAAGTCCCAACTCGACATGATCAGTATTAGGTAGCTCAAAGTTCCATCAACCACCTTCCAGTTCCATCATCAAACCTCACGATTGCTGCAGGTTCATTATGGTACTACAATTAGATATAGTGTACTTCAGATTCTTAGGTTGAATTAAAAAAAGAAATTACAAGTAGATAAAGGTAACTGTACATACATAAACGTGATAACTTTAAGTATTTATACAAAAACTATACAACAAATTATTCATGCCAGATACTTGAAAGAAAGTTTTTTTTACGAATGGGCCGGCTCGACCGGAATGATACCACGGCCTCACAGAAAACCGACGTGAAGCAACGCTTGCGTTGTGTTTCGGCGTGTGAGTGAGGTTATCGGAGGCCCAATTACCCTCCCCTTCCCCAATCTCCCCAATCCCGGAATCCCCAACGATCCTCAAACTCCTAATCCCCAAAAGCCGGTAACACACTTGTAACGCCTCTGGTGTTCCAGGTGTCCATGGGTGACGCCGATGCTTACCATCAAGTGATCCGTCTGCTCGTTTACCGGCTTATGCCATACAAAAAAAAAGTAAAATATCCGTAGGTACTGTATATCAATCAGAAAACAGAATAAACATGACAAATTATTAAGAACCTCATCTTGGTTTTGTAAATCAAATTCAATTTGAACGGTCATGAATTACAAATGTTACCTACAATTAAATGGATTTACTTTGGCCACGGTACCGATGTCACAGAGTGCAGATAACACAGAAGTTCCAAGTTTTTACTATTTTAAAAATCATAATATGGTTTATCTCGCTATGAATGAGACGAGAGGAAGTCTAATGATTGTTTTCACCTGCCACCCCTAAACCACCACTTAATTAATTAAGAGTTACTAAGCGGAGCACCACCAAACCATTTCTTAATTAATAGTCACTTAACTTGAGGCACCACTAAACCACCACCTAAATTAACTGATTATGGTATCACCTCTTTTCAATAGCTTTTTGTAACGAATCTACCTCTACATGTATTATGCTGAAAAGACCACCTCGTTTCACTTTATGTGTTAATTAACAATTTTTCAGACTGCTCTAATGGAAATAAATACAGAATATAATCGCCATGAGACTATCGGACCTTTTGCACTGTGCCCTTCAGTTTGTATGGAGCCACAAATGTAAGAAGCGCGGCGCGGCTCCTCGCGCTACACGACTTCGTCATTGAATCAAATGAATTCAATTTATCCAAACCATGATTACTGTTTGCAATATAATTCGATTTATTTCATTGTATAATTGAGGGCTATTGATTCAATGTTCACTCACAGCGATATACTACAATTATTCATTCATTTCACTTTGGCTACGTTAGGCGATGAACTTTGTATAGTTATATATCTAACTCGAACTCACTATCGATAGTCATAAATCGGCAATACCAGAAGTATTCAACCGCTTTGTGTGCATGTAACTGTTTACAATATTTTTTTTACGGTAATTACCTCAATGGTTTTACAATATGCGCGCCGCCTATAAATAACATAATGCAACACCTATTTTGGCCAGTTGTGTCTGGCCTCTATACTAGGGAACCGGAAGCCATACACCGGGCCTATATCTACATACACGCACCTTTAAGCGGCGCTGATCGCTTACCATCAGGTGGTCCGTATGCTCGTTTTCCTCCTATTTCAATAAAAATCTTATAAATCTTATTATACTAATAACAATATCTTACATAAATCCAGAATACCATTGTTACATTGTCCTATACTAAGATTACTTCCTATATTGTGAGTCCGTTTAGAAATATCAATTCATATACACGCCAAACCCAGACACAGAAGAACTAGACAAAGAGTTGTTCCATGTGAGAAAGGTACCCCCGCAATTTGTTGCACAACGAACCAAACGTGCAGTATAGTATATAGTATACCTCAGTGTATCTTGTTTACACATGTACTTAACTAACAAAACAGATTAGTTTTATAAACCCTATAATATTTAATCATCTCTGATTAATTTCCAATTAATTGATAAAATGAGGCGTGTACCTGGCTGTTGGCAGACGATGGGACGTGAGTATGTGAGTGACAGGTGGACGGACGCCAATAACGCAGCTCATCTTGTGACCAGCACAGGTAAACACTGTGATTGTATGATACATCACACATAACGTGCTGATGCGGAAAATGGGTATATCATCATCACGTTTCCTTTCTTAATTATAAACGCCGTAGGTACTGCACGTCTCAATAGAACTATACCTATTCCGTATGTCTTTTTTTTTAAGTGGGGCTAATCATCGAATGACTGCTCTCGCCTGGGTGAGGCGGGAGGGAGTGTCGGACTCTTACTGACTAAAAACCACCCCGTTCCTTCTCCTGCACGTTGAGCTGGAGCCCCGGTTACCCGTTAGGTAGGATGCTAGTAAACTCACTTAAAGGTTCGAAGGTAATAAATTTATTTCAATGTCTATACAAAATCTTTGAATTGAGCACGATTTTTAATTTTAATCCTACTTTATAATTGGTCATTTTCTAGGCCCTTAGACACGAATGATAATTCTAAAATATTGGATAGCATTTAAAAAAACAATAAGTACTTAATCTAATCTTTGACACAAGTATAAACATCTTAAAAGTCTCATTCAAAACGAATAGAGTGATTCTCCGGGCCACACTCATAACTTCATCACTAGTTAAAATGTTTACGAAGTGAAGAAGTGTAAGAACGACAAAGTGGGCAGGAGTCAACTATAAAAAATATACAAATGGACTAGTTAGCTCTGAACTTCGTCAATTAATGAATTACTATTTTCGTTATCGTTATTATAAATTTTGTGATGAAAGTTCAAACGAAGTAATTGAAGTAAATTATATTTATGGGAATGGTGTAGTAATGGTCGAGGGTTGAGGCTGGTTTGATTACCAGCTAACTGGGGCGCCATCACATTCACACGGCACGTCTTACTGTCATTAATTGGATCCTGCGAGTTGATTGGCTACAGGTCCACTATGTCCTCCATCAGGGACAATTGTTTAAAGGTGACGACACAACATGTGTTTCCGATTCAATTATTTATTAAATTGTAAGTATATACGTTTACCAGTATTATTTATTTATTTATTTATTTAAAGCTTCATGCACAAAATGTACACAAGGTGGACTTAATGCCGCAGGCATTCTCTCCCAGTCTGACCTTAGGGTGATGCAGAGAAGAGTTAATGGTGTGAGCAAGAAGCAAGCAATTATTTAATAGAGCAAATAAAATAGATACACTTACATATTTCAGAGATAAATATAAATACTTAAACATAATTATAATATATATACCTACACACGAGTACAACACAATACACATGCATGCATTCATACATATATACATACATACATACATACATACATATTATATAATATTATATTTAGATTTTACAAAACTGTTGATACGTACCAATAAACGAATACATAGTGGCTGTCTTATCAGAAACAATACAATGTGTTACTTTCAATGTGTTCATCATTCAGTTAATCGCACAGTTACTTGATGTAACCTTCACCGCATGTTGGGTACACCGCTCCGTGCCACAAATGTTGGGATTTTCCTGTTGCTGTAGCTCCCATCTGATTATGTTTTTAAACGCAATGCCCATGGAATAGGGACTTCCCTAAATCAGAACCTAACTAATATTATAGTTATGATGCAATGTTATTGTAACGTCGTTGTGTTGAGTGATTATGTGTTACTTGTTACTTCCAATCGTTAACTTCAGCAGAAGTTGTAAATGTGATTTATTAATTTTAAGATTTTAATTCAAGGACAGTCTTGTCAGGTAATATAAGTTCGGTATTACCGTTATATTTCTTTTTTATAATGGGTTAAAATCATCCAATGACTTCTTCCGCCTCGGTGAGGCGGAACGCGTCACGTCGCTGGCTCAGGTATGGTCCCAGTTATGTTATTATCAGTGTGAGCCTGTAAACTGAAGAATTGAATTAAAAAATCATGTTATACAACGTACAAGCACAAGTAGTCACATGCATGTGTTAGGGAAAAAGTATACTACGATTTATATTCCAAATGTCGAAACTTTTACTTAAAAACTTATTTCAGTGCTGTGCAGTAACTCAGTTGTGAATAATGTGCAAATAATAATATGTTTTATATATAAACATGTGTTATCTTGAGTTCAACATATTCCCGCTTCTACAGTCAACAGATACAGTGCACAAAAATGTTAAAAATATATTTAATTTGTTTGTCTTACTTGTTCATGTTATACTTGGGTAAGATCATTTTACTTTTATTTGAAAGGATAGTAAGTTCGTTCATATTGCCAGAGACCACGCTCCAAGAGTATGTGATGGGCGGACTGCTCGTATTGCAACTCCGCTGTCGAACATTGGCACCATGGTGAATCAACAAGTTTAAATAAAAACAATTTGGTTTTAAGTGGCACGTAGAGTAGGAAATTGGGCAACGCAGTGATCTACCTCAAACCATGTCCTCTCCAGCCGCTCATGCACGGATGGAAGGAACTGATAAAGTTGGCGGCCCTTGATAGAAGATTACATCTACACTGTCATTCAGTAACAAGTCGTTTACCGTATGACATATTTACTCACGCTACCAACCTTTTTGTACTGTTTTCAAAGAATGCCGGAGCCGTGCTTCTTGGGTGCGGGAAGACCATTACGTGATAATTTTATTTAATACTAGCTAACCCGGAAAACTTCGAATCACCTAAAAATTACGAACATTTCAAGACCAAAATTAGCCAAATCGGTTCTACGGTTCGGTACGAATCGGTAGACGTTCTACAGTTTTAGCGAGACTAACGAACGGACATTCATTTCTATTTATATAGATTTATTGGACTTGTTGTAGATAAGGCAGTAAGATTTTATATGCATATTACATATGACGATATACATAAACAAACATAGGTAAACTTTAATATTAAAATGTACCAATTGGTGAAAGCTGTTTATTAAATGTGATTTGTTCGTTAATAATACAGAGAGTGCACAATGCGACCCTCAGTACTGGTTCAACATGGATGTGAATGGTTGGCTCAAAGTGCACACGATACCCGCCACATGGGAGGAAGCATTCCTTCGATGCCACTATGAAGGTAACACTAACACCAAACTCAATAATATAATTTGTGAAAGTCCATGCTATAAGTGAACACGAGAATTTCGAATATTTTAAAACCAACGTCGTTAGATTGTGATGAGGGATATAGTTTTAGGACTCCGCACATAGCGCTGATAAAGCTTAAGATCCTGTTTATCCAATAGATAGGTAGCTAGTGACACACTATTCGACAATATTGACATCGATAGTGACTGGATAAATAGACTATCCGCTGTATTAGCATCTTCTCATGTTCAAAACCGGTTATTGCCAATAGGGAAGTTGAAGAGGTTCTTATCAAAAGTAATGCAAAGGTTTTTTTATCTAAGGTGAATTCCTATTTACCTTAAGATGTCGGTAGCTGGGCATAAGTTAAATAATAGTAACATTCGAGTACCAAAATGCTGCCCAATTTTAAATTAATTATACCTAAATAGCATGCTATCTCTGTCATTTTTCAAGTATTTGTAAATGACAGAAATATTTTTGAAATCGTCTTAAAATTGAGTAGTGGAATTGGATTTTGTTTGCCTTCACTAGAGAGAAGGAAAACAAATTAGACATCGTACAATAACATGGTGGTGACCCGGAGGTTAACCACCATCCAAAGAGCGTTAGATATGCATTACACCTAAACGATATATTTCAGTCCACTGATAAGTGAAACCTAAATAACAGATAAACAGGTTCATAGTGACGTCACAATAAATATGTAAGTCATTAACTATGATATATACAATTATATATATGTGTATGGGGTAGACAGAAGTGCAGCAACAGTTTCAATGTACTGAGCTTTAGTAGGGAACATTAAAATTCAATATTTTTTATGATACATATTTTACAATAAATGCTCCTCCATGGGATAACCCCTAGCAAACATCGGTCGGCTCAGTAGCCAACTAATGGTCACTGTCTCTGTACTGAGTCAATCTATATTTTCGTACCTGCACATCAAATAACTCGAGGGACCGCACGTGTGACATATCAGACTACAGTACTTCGATGTTACCCTGATCAGAAGATTGTTCAATATTGTATAAACGAATAAACATTATTATTGATTGATAACTCTGTTCAATTCAGATGGATGTCACCATGTTGCTCTATGTTCTGTTCCAGGTGCTGTGCTTGCGTCTCCGTTGACTCAACAACTGAGTAAAGCTCTTGAACACAAATTTTCAGTTATCAGTCAGCAATCAATCCACTTAGGGACACACGATTTGTACTCTAATGGTGACTACTTTTCAGTAGAAGGTAAATTTATTTGTAATTATATTAAACCTTTGTTTCAGGATCTATGCCTATATAGAGTATTATATGTATAGAATATTCCAAAGGTATCGCATAACAATGCGTAGAAATGCTCACATGTCTTATGATGTCGTGGTTGGGATTACAAAGGCATCAAGAATTAAATGGTAGTGCAATTATCGTGTACCCCATTGGGGCATAGAAAATAGATTCATTGAAATTCGGCTGACCATATCGATATACACTAACTTTTATTTTCTAAAATTAATAATAACTATTACTAAATTAAATATATAGAGGTACAATACAAGCTAAAAATTAATATATACAACTTAAAATATATATATAAAAAAATTTAAAACTAAAATATTTACACCTTAAAAAAAATAATAATAAAAATAAATCATAGGGCATCGAAGAAAACATTTTCCTCATCGCTACCGTGAGGTAGGGTGCCCAAAAGACTGGCAGCATTGCCACTTTGAATGGCAATGCTTAACCTTTGCCCAAGGTATCAATAGGTACGTACTTGGATCACTATCCATGGTATGAACTCTTCATTCATCTATCAATATTGGAAATCAATCTGGAAAAAAGCTTTATGCACACATACAAGCACATGGGTGGACTTAATGCCGCAGGCATTTTCTACCAGTCTGACTCTTGGGTGATGCAGAGAAAGAGAAAATATTATGTTTTAATATGGTGTGAAAATATAAGGTATATCGGCTCGGTCTTTTACAGGCGTGATGAGATCATAAGTGAATTGGATACAGTTGTACCTACCTAGTACTAGATTTCAACTTTTGTTTGCAGGAATTCCATTGGACAGCTTGGTACTGAAATGGAGTAATTTCAGAGGTACGGGCGACTGCCTGGCGATGTCACGCGACGGCCGAGCGTTTATCACGAAATGCATGGAACCTCGGCCCTACATCTGTTACAAGAAGCTGGACAATCTGACGATGAACATTTGTGGAACATTTGATGATGGTAGCTGGGTGTATATAAATACCTGACATTAACACATTGCAATAGTTGATGGAGTCCAACGTTTTGTTTGTTTAACTTTCCAGCATATCAATTCTACGATAAGACTGGGAGTTGTTATAAGAGACACGACGAGTATAGGACTTGGACCGACGCGTTTAAGATATGTGCTGCCGAAGGAGGTTACCTGCTTATTCTAAACGATGCCACAGAGGCTGCCATCGTCAGGGAAATGTTCCCTGTACGGACAGGAAAAGCAAACGAATGGGAGAACTTCCACGTGGGGCTGCGGGCTTGGGGGCCTGAACGTACTTGGATCACTATCCATGGTATGAACTGTTCATTCATCTATTTATCCTTTGTATCAGTTTGTTAACATTTTTAAAACAGTATGCGATATGAAGTTCGTAATAAGAGCTATATATATAGACGTCACGGTATAGTCTGTATGGTGTACGTATGTTGAATTGTGATCACGTCTTCATCGTACGTACTATATTTAACTATAGCGTGTCTACACTGCTCTTCCTATCTCTTGCTACTGCAGTGGTCCTGCACAAGGGCGCTGCCTAATTTTTTTAATATATGCATTCTTTTCATGAACAGGCGAAAGAATAGAAGATGTGTTCCATGATTGGAACCCAGGACAGCCGGATAACTACCAGGGAGTGCAGAACGTTGGCGCTTTACTTCGACTTGGCACTTTAGATGATCACTCCATAGATAAAAAATCTATGTTCGTTTGTGAGAAGGATCCGAAAATAAAACGCTTCGAAGAGCTACCCGAAGGTTTGGCAGAAATTTTAGGACAATAAGCCGCTCGTCATAAATTGTCCTTATACTTTTCTATAACAAAAAAGCTTTAATTGATTGCAAAATTTAATAAATTGTAAACATTATTTAATTGTGTTGTTTTTATTTGTGGTTTCGTGAGTTGTTCTGCTCTGTGGCAGATGGGCCAGGAAAGTCCTTGAGTGGAGACCACGGACAAGAAGACGAAGCGTGGGCAGGCCTTCCGCTAGGTGGACCGACGACATCGCCAGAGTTGCGGGGAGCCAGTGGATGCGGGTGGCGAGTTGTCGTTCAACGTGAAGGACTTAGGGGGAGGCCTTTGTCCAGCAGTGGACATCTTCCAGCTGTTGATGAAGATGATGTTTGATGATGAGTTGTTCTGAAAACCAAAGTCTGTGAAATGTCTAGGTAGACGTCGGCAAACGTTCACCCATATTTTTTTACGTGGGAGAATAATCAATCGTCCCTTACAAATTGGCTGGGAGTAGTAGGAAACGAAGAGCTGGAAGATGGAGCTCTGTGTGACAGCAGTGGGCTGAACACGAATGTATACTGTACTGGAGGTAGATTCCACTAAATTGTAACCAATTTGAGGCAACGTCTGACTGTTCAAGTTGTCGCGATAATCTCGCACGGAACTATTTCCTGTGTCTATAAAGACTTAAACAAATAAATTATAAAAACAATAAAAGTGATTAAACTGCTGACTGTTCTTCCCAAGTAGATACACTTTATTTCTGTTATTATAAAAACACAATACTGGAGTTGATGCGCACATGAACCAAACAGATGTGTAAGCTGGGTTAAACCATTTAGGTATTGTTAATCATCAAGTTTGTACACACATCGAGGTATAAAAATCATTTTACAATCGTCCCGCTTTGTATCATCTTTAAGCACATTCCACAGTCAGCTTGTACTGGTTTTGCGTAGCTTGATATGTCACCGTGAGGATTTACATATATATACCTTGTGGTGCTTCAGAATGAAGACATTACGCCTTGGTCAGTGAACCGATGTAGTACACGATAATGTTGAATATATATCTAATTTGTTTGTTGTGCTTGTTCGTACTAAACTTGGGTAAGAACATTTTTCTTAGTTTGTACTTTTGTTGATAGAAATATTTCTATGTTCAAGTGAAAAGTGCGAGATATATTCCAAAAGAGCTGATTATATTATTCTTCATAAGCGCATAAGCTTTGGAACTAGTTACAATTTTGTGACATACAGATTGACCTCTTAATAATGATATATAAACAGTTTTAGAGGTTTAATATACGCATATGTGTACTTATATTTTCTTAGTATCTGTATTTAATCTTTCTTGTAATTTATATTTAGTAGTACGTAGATGTATTATATTTTTTTCATTAGTATGTTATAGTATTGAAATGTATTATATCTGCCTTGTTGGCCAAGTGGTCGCAGGTGCGACTGCCAGGCAACCGCTCCCGGGTTCGATTCCCGGGTCGGGCAAAGTATTACTGGGTTTTAAAAAACAAATCTCAGTAGTAGCACGGAGTCTAGAATTGTACCCGGTATATGAGTTAATAGTTTCACCAGGTATTACATGGGACTCATAACATAAATAGTGAAAAGTGAGTGTTACATTGTGCAGTGACATTATCTGCCGTAATGTGCCTACTTCTTCGGGGATAAAAGGCATGATGTTATGTTATTGTGTTATGTCTAATTTACATGAAAGTTCCGTTATATACTACGTGATATATTATACCCTTGATATGATTACAGAACATGCACAATGTAAACCCGACTACTTGTACAATGCAAACGCGAATGGTTGGCTCAAAGTGCACACGATACCCGCCACATGGGAGGAAGCATTCCTTCGATGTCACTATGAAGGTAAGTACAACGCTAACACTTCATACCCTGGAATCTAACTCCGCGAATTCAGGCTCGCCTTGGAAACTTTACGGTGCATCTTTGTGGTTTTAATCCTCAAATGATCCTATTCCTTAAAAAACCAGTAATGCACTTGTAACACCCTGTACCTTTAGCCAAACACCACTTTAGCGCTGGTCTACAGAGAGAGTAGAAAACTTAATGTATGGGGATGACAGTGACAAATGGCAAAATTTACATCAATTCCATATAATTTGGTTTTCTATTCTACATGTAGACAAGCGCTAAATGGCATAAGGCTACAGATGCTGGTTTTTCAGGTGTCCATGGGCGACGCCGATTGCTTACCTGATGGTAGGCCAGTAAACGAGCTGATGGTCAGCTGATGCTGACCGTCAGCTCGTTTACTGGCCTATCCCATAAAACGTTTTTTTTTACGTAGGAACCTTCTCCTAACAGTAACAAGCTAAATATAAAAAAGAGTTAGCGAGATCGGATCGACGTGAACTGCCTACATAACAACGCATTTGTCACATCTCTGCTGTTACACTATTATGGCCGTTTAAACCAAATACCACTTAACTTAAAAGTTACTCAGGGAGCACCTACATAAACCTTTTCTTTATATTGTCAATATAGGTTAGTAAAAATCAAAATGTTGATAAGTTAGTCTACTATTTTTGTTTAGGTGATCCTTAAAATTTAAGACACGTTTTGGTGAAACGGAGATAAGATTAAGGTGTCTGCTTACCATCAGTTGGACAATAATCCGAATATTATGAATGCGAAAGTGCATATTTATTTGTCACCCCTTCACGACACTAAAGGGATCTTTTTTTACGGCATAAGCCGGTGAACGATCAGACGGATCACCTGATGGTAAGCAATCGGCGTCACCCATGGACACCTGGAACAACAAAGGTGTTACAAGTGCGTTACCGGCCTTTTAGGGATTAGGTGTTTGAGGATCGTTGGAGATTCAGGGATTGAGGAGATTGGGGAAGGGGAAGGTAATTGGGCCTCCGGTAACCTCACTCACACGACGAAAAACAACGCAAGCGTTGCTTCACGCCGGTTTTCTGTGAAGCCGTGGTTTGAAATAACACTTACTTACGCGGGCGAAACCGCTAGCATAAGCTTATAGTAGTATATAAATATTTGAATTATTTCACAAGTAACCAGGCCCTTCAGTTTTATTACAGTTGAGTTGTGAAGTATTATGCTTTATATTCCAGGCGCTGTGCTCGCGTCCCCACTGACTAAGGAAATGGGGAAGGCCCTGTTGGAGCAGACCTTAAGAAAGGACCTGGACCAAACCATCCACTTGGGGACACACGATTTGAATTCTAAAGGAGACTATTTTTCTGTGGAAGGTAAACATGTTAGACTTGTTTTATTTATGTACTGTACTTATTCGTCAAGTACACAACTGTTCAAACATGTTTAAATTAGCTCGACTTGCGACTATAATATAAATCTCCTCCCGATCTAATATATAATATATATCTCGACACAGTGGGTAGTCTAACTAGACAAGCCTACTACGCAGGAGATTTATAGTGCACAAGTGTTTGCGCAAACACAAATACACTCTCTGTTCCCTTACTCTGTGAACATGATAGGACGGTACACCGACACAAACATAAGGACCACGACCAACGGCTTTACGTATTTTTCGAGGCACGGGGAAGAAACACCGTTGAACTTCCTGACTCCGGGCTAATAGGTACATTTTGATTCAGAAAATGACATTCACAATTTTGAATCAAACGCGCGACACGCTGCACAGCAGCTGGTCACCCAACCACCAAATATGCATTTAATAATAATAGACAAACAAGTCATTACTGTTAAGTGCATCATTACTCACAATAGTTAATAATACTTATTTATTAATTACTTACAGAAGTCAAAGTAATACTTATTATTGAGATTTCTGTGTTTATACTGTATGATAATTAAAATGATATACAACTGACTAGATGTCGGCCTGTTTTAATTGCAGAGCGACCATCTGGCCGACATATGTTCTTGTTGTATGTAGTATACAGGATGTCCCTGAAGTCGACGATCAAATGGCACCAGGTGATCGTCAAGTTTCCTACAGTTATCAGAAAAATATTTAAAAAAATCCAAGTCTTCAAATTACAATGACTTACACTTGTCCACGAAAAAATACACCCTGTGCCAGTCTTTTGATTCTTGTTGCTACAATTCTTGACTTATTCGTCTATATCTATATAATATTATAAAGAGGAAAGATTTGTTTGTTTGTTTGTAATGAATAGGCTCCGAAACTACTGGACCGATTTCAAAAATTCTTTCACCTCTGGAAAGCTACATTATCCCCGAGTACCATAGGCTACATTTAATTTTGAAAAAAAAAAAATTTTTCTACCCCGTGCGAAGCCGGGACGGACTGCTAGTTCGTCTATATTTTTGTTTACGTCATCCTGAATAGTGCTTCAATATTATTAAAATTATAAAATTTGAGCCAACAGCTTTAGTTTGGAAGATAATGTAGTATTTTGACGAACCAGGTGTAGAGGGGCACATTAACAATCTCTTTTCTCTCCCTGGATATGTTACGAGTCCCATGTAACTGTCACTGTAAATGTTTAACTATTGTCTCCAGGAGTGCCGCTGGACAGTTTAGTTCTGAGTTGGAGCAAGGTCAAGGGTACGGGCGACTGCCTCGCCATGACACGTGATGGACTCGCAATTTTGACGAAGTGCACTGAACCTCGGCCCTACATCTGCTACAAGAAGCTGGACAATCTGACGATGAACACCTGCGGAACATTTGATGACGGTAAGTCCAAACACTTGATAAAGGAATTGTTATGTTTATTTTTAATGTGTATATGTTTTTTTTTTCTCTAGCGTATCAATTTAACGAGAAGACTGGCAGCTGCTATAAAACACACCTTCAGAAAAGGACATGGTCTGACGCGTTCAAGATGTGTGCTGCTGAGGGAGGTTACTTGCTTATCCTGAACGACGCCACAGAGGCTGCCATCGTCAAGGAAATGTTCCCCAAACGGACAGGAAAAGACACCGACTCTGACAGATTCCACGTGGGCCTGCAGGCTTGGGGACCTGAACGTATTTGGATCACTATACACGGTGAGTTTAATAAAACATCATTTACTAAATCATATAATATGTATTTCATTATATAATTCATAAAGCACCACCTAATATTGATTTTTTTCTTGTAAATTGTATGACTTTTTCTTCTAAAACTACTACTAAGTAACCTTACACAAGTGTCTTATTTTACTTTATGTTTGAACATTACTGAAATCTGACAATTATATGTTTGACAGGTGAGGGAACAGAAAACGTGTTCATCAATTGGCACCCAGGTCAGCCGGACAACTTCCAGGGTGTGCAGGATAGAGGGGCTTTTATGAGAATGGGCAATTTCGACGACCACGCTATAAACGCCATGGCTATGTTTGTCTGTGAAAAAGACCCCAATGTGAAACGCTTCGAAGAGTTACCCGGAAAACTGGCCGTTTCAGAACAGTTTTAAGGTGTTTTGCTACCAATTTTGCTGTTGAACGGAACTTCTTTACTTATTTTTGATCACTGTTTGATCCTTTTTTACAAACTTTTGTATTACGTACTTGTATTATACCCAAAACAAATGTAATTTGAATTAAATGGTTAATATTGGCAACTGTATGTATTTTATTTTATTATGTTTCTTTTTCGGCCGTGGTGGCCTGGAAGTTTAAGACGGCCGCTTCGAAACCTAACAATGGCAAGTACCAATGTGATTTTTTCCGAATTTTATGTACTTTTTAAGACACACACCGCTGACAAACGGTGAAGGAAAACATCGTGAGGAAACCTTGGCTTATAATTTGGAATTATAAGTTTGAAATAAGCATCCCGCATTAGGCAAGTGTTTACTACGCTCCAACCTTCACCTTGTGAGAAGAGGCTTTACTCATTCGGTAGGCATTTATGATGATGATGTTTTTTTTTTATTTTTGCGTTTTCGGCATTCTCACGTAACTGTTTGACGAGTAACTCGACTGGTTTCAAGCATATTTTTTTTTCTTTTTTTTTAAGGGGGGGAAATCATCGAATGACTGCTCCCGCCTGGGTGAGGCGGGAGGGAGTGTCAAACTCTTACTGACTAAAAACCACCCCGTTCCTTCTCCAGCATACTAGAGGCCCAATACATATCCATGAGTCGAATTCCTCGTCATGTCGTTACGCGAGTAAGCCGAAAACATAATAATTAATTAGATATTTTTTTTATCTTATGCAATTTCTTTTTCATATTTTGTTGAAGCGAATTAATTAAGTGTAAAATGTTTGTGTTTTATACTTTATCATTTTTTCTTTTTTTTTATCTTAATAGTGACACAGTTTATTTGGAAATATTTCTAACGCTTATCGCAGTTTTTGGTTTTAATTTTCATAAATTAGCATTATGTCGAACAGTCGTTTTTATTCATTTGTGTTGTGACTGAAGACGGAGCGCGGAGGTATCAGGTAAAGTATTATTTTTTCATTTACATTCAATATTATATTTGTAAAATAATGAACTGCATGACTGTTATCGTTGTGGATTGTGGTTGACCACAGTAATACTGTTTGTGTCGGTAACAACTTAATGAAATCATGAGCTAGAAACTGACCATACAAATCATTTAAACTATACCACATAGCGAGCTCGCAGTCACTCTGCGGAGGAAATCATTCAACTTATTTACGATTAGATTACCTCCGCTACACTCCAGTGACGTTTCCACATTACTTTATTAGGAAAAAAGCGGTCAAAATGGAGTGGATTCGGAACGGTGGTAACGTTTGGTGTGCGGTATTTTTTGTTGATTAGAAAATTGAATAATGATAAGGTGATATTATGCTCCTTATTTCTGTAGAGGATAAAGTAGAGTTAGTTTTATAGTATAACTAGCTATGCCCGCGACTTCATCCGAGTGGAATAGTCACTTTGGATAGTTCTTCATTAATAGTTTAGGTAATAGCGTGATAATATGTAGCTTATATGTTGACACGACCTACTAGTAATATTCATGCGAAATTTGAAGTAAATCCATGCAGTATTTTTTGAGTTTCACCCAGACATACATACATACACACAAACTGACAAAAAAAAACCATATTTGTGGCTTGTACATCGACTATAGATCACGCCCCTAGTAGATCTGATAAATCTAATAGATCCATGAGTAAACTGTAGATCGCCCCCTCTACCTCTCCAATATATTTTTTAAAGTATTCAATGTACAGTTTTACTTTCCTACAATATTATTATATATATAGACATATGTGATTCATTTTTTTGTTTAAAAATTGTTGCCCCATACTGATTATCTCCTATGTCGTGGGTGCGTTTGCAAACATACAAGTTCACATACACATCACACCCAAACCCGAAACAACAATTTGTTGATCACACAAAGAGTTGTTCCATTCGGGAATGGGATACGTTGCGTGGCAGCTGGTTGGTTGTCCAGCCACACCAACCATGCAGTCTTAGATTTAGATTTAGAATTAGTTTCAGACGAATGGAGCACATAACAAACGCAGCATCATCAGATGCCTACACCAGCAGTGTGCAGAATGCTCTCAGCGTCCTCACTACTCTGCATATCACCAGCTACATGTGGATGCCAGAAACCGACGTCAAAGGTTCTACTTAATCACATTTGAGAATAAAGTAAAGAGCAAATAAATACATACTTAAATACGACTGCTTCGACCGAGTGGTCGCAAGTGCGACTCCCGGGCAAGGGGCCTCGGGTTCAATTCCCGGGACGCAGTTGTAGCACAAAGTTTGGAATTGTGCCCGGTATATGGCAATAGACTCACCCCCTATTATATGGTACTCATAACATAAATAGTGAAAAGTGCATGTTACATTGTACAGTGGCATAATGTGCACCTCTGCCTACACCACCGGGGATAAAATGCGTAATGTTATATTATGTTAAATACGATTTTCCAGATGTTGTTTCAGATAGTGTTGATGCTGAGTATGAGTACATAGTGGTGGGAGCTGGCACGGCAGGCGCTATCGTGGCTGGCAGACTGGCACAGAGCCAGGCCAGGGTCCTTCTGATAGAAGCGGGCGGTGACCCTCCTATAGAAACTATTGTGAGTAATCCTTGTTACTTAGACCACTCGGCCATCGAGGCAGACAATGATTTGCATTAACTTTTAGATATTAAATATAATTCTACGTTCCTTTTGATATTGTAATGTCAATTTTACTTAGTAATACTACTTCTGCATTCACATCCATCCTAATTTTAATATACACGCCACATATTTAAAGATTAATAAAAACCTATAGAATTAATCATATTATTCTAGTACCCTGGACTCGCCCTGTACACGAGATGGTCGGAAATAGACTACAATTTCACAGTAAGTAGCCAACCTTACCACCATGACTGTTTAGAGGAACCCTACTTCACACTGCATGCTGGCAAAGTACTGGGTGGATCCAGTACAATAAGTATAATGTTATATGAAAGAGGAAACAAACAAGACTTCCAGCGTTGGGTAACAGCGAGTAATGATGACAGCTGGTCCTGGGAAAATGTATTAAAATACTTCAAGCGAACAGAAAAAATGGAAGATCAAGCTATATTAAATTCACCTTATAGACAATATCACGGATTAGATGGACCTCTTATAGTAACGAGAGAAACTCGAATGGAAGTAGACGCTTATCATAGCATAGTTCAGCAACTAGGGGGTAAAGTCATACTCGATCTGAATAGCAACGAAACCGTTGGATATTCTAGAGCACAATACACGTTAAAAGACTATCGACAGAGCACTGCCACAGCATTCTTGAAAGCTTCAGATACTTCCACTTATTTACATCTTTTAAAAAACACAGAAGTCACCAAAATCATTTTAGATGACAACAATCGCGCTGTTGGTGTAAAAGCTAAGAGAAACAATAAAATGTATACTTTTAATGCAAGTAAAGAAGTTATATTATCAGCTGGTGTAATTAACTCGCCTAAGTTGCTTATGTTGTCTGGCATTGGACCCAAAGAACATCTTGAGTGCAAAGGCATAGAAGTCAAAGTTGATTTACCAGTGGGTAAAAACTATCATGATCACATTGGAGTAGTGATTGCCCATAGGCTACAAAAAAGCAATGAAACTTTGACACAAGTAGATGTCCGTGAATACCCGACCACTGCCATCATTGGTTATGTTGCCATAAATGAGTCAAAAAAATATCCGGACTATGTATTGTCTGGCCACTTTGTCTATGGTAAAGATGCTGCCAAACTGCCTTTACAGGAAAACGCATTTTATGACCGATACCGCTCTTGTATTCGAAACACTCTCTATAGGGAGTCTAAACGTCACAATATGTTATATGCATTTATTAGTAACCCAACGCCATTATCGCGAGGTACAGTTACTTTGAGAAGTTCCCACTACAAGGATCAGCCAGTCATTGATGGTAACTTTTGTTCCGTCGAAGTTGATTTAGAACATCACATTGATTTTTTACAACACTACACTAGAGTACAAAATACAGAAATATTCATGCAACTTGGATCAAAATTGCTAAATCCTATAGAGAAGAAGTGTGGTAAGTACGAGATGGGAAGCAGAAAGTTCTGGAGATGTTACATTATGTGTATGATGTCGCCTCGCAACCACGCAGTCGGGACGTGCGCTATGGGCTCGGTGGTAGACAGCAAGCTGAGGGTCCTCGGAGTTCAGGGCCTGAGGGTAGCAGACGCGAGTATTATTCCTGTAATACCTTCAGTGGGGACTTACGCTCCGACGATGATGATTGGAGAAAAAGCCGCCAGCATGCTAATAGAAGATATGTGATATGGTAGATGACAATTTTTACACGTATTTTTTTTTTCTTACGAAAACAAATGCTTTCGGCTATAAATTGATTTGAAATATCGTATGAAATAGCTAGCTCCCACTCCTAAAATTTGAATCGTTATATCTGGGTATTGTTTCCTTATACGACAAGTTAAAAAAAAAATTTCGTTACCTAACTGACGGAATAAATAGATTTTTTATTTTCGTACCCCGTCATCACCCTTGTACTATGTGTCCACCATTGTGTTGTTAGTACAGATAAATAAACAGTTGCTAATTTTTGAACTTATGTTTTAAAGCATCTGTATCATCATCATTCTAGTGCTTCGATGGTACGTAGAGATTTATTCAATTGAGTAATTTATAGTAATAGGCATCAGAAGAGCACTCATCATAGGCTTGTGAATATGCACAAAACAGGAGTAGCAAATCTGTATAATTAAAATTGAATCAAAATAATTATGAATATGTCTGAATGGAATATGCGTACGTGCGTGTGTGTGAGTGTCTATATTCCTTTGTATGTTTGCATATTTTTGTAATGTTAATTAAAATTACTTGTTGATTACATACATAAATTAATATGTATATATGTATATGTATGTACATCGTCGACTGCCTCGTTGGCCGAGTGGTCGCGAATGCGACTGCCGGGCAAGGGGTCTCGGGTTCGATTCCCAGGCAGGGCAAAGTATTTTTGGGTTTTAAAAAAAATCTCAGTAGTAGCACGGAGTCTGGAAATGTGCCCGGTATATGGCAATAGGCTCACCCTCTATTACATGGGACTCATAACATAAATAGTGAAAAGTGGGTGTTACATTGTACGGTGGCATTAAGTGCCGAAATGTGCACCTCTGCCTACCCCTTCGGGGATAAAAAGGCGTGATGTTATGTTATGTAATATATGTACATTGTCAAAATAAAATTCACTCACTATCAAAATTTATTCATTTCGTTACAAACAATTTGTGAGCGGTTGTTCGTTTAGTAATTATACGCGGATTAGAACATTAGGTAATTGAATGCATATATATGTTTCATTAGACCTTATCGACAGACTAATTAAATTATAGATTAGGAATTACTCTCTTAGATATTACAATGGCATGTCTGTATATGAAAAAATTGAAACTGGTACCAAAGCGTATACGCCTATGAAGAATAACAATAGCTCTTTTAGAATATTTCTCGCAATTTTTATTTATACATAGAATATTTCTATCAACAAAATTACACACCAAGAAAAATGTTCTTATCTAAGTTTAGTACGAACAAGCACGACAAACAAATTAGATATATATTCAACATTATCGTGTACTACATCGGTTCACTTACTAACGCGTAATGTCTTCATTCTGAAACACCACATATAGTTCAGTAACTTGATGGTTCTTGCATGTTTTCCGGGAGTTTTGAATAATTTTGATGTGCTCTTTTCGATTTCAGTTTTGCACCTTTGTGCGTGCACGGCTCACGCCGCCATCTTGGAGAAATGGTCAAAATACAATTCTCTTTGCCTGTCATTGTTGGTTGTGTCATTTTATGAGAAAACCGTTAACTACAGAATTCAACTACTCACAATTTTCCACAATTTATGTCTAGCTTTTTGTAACATTAGTAGTTTTAGCGCCAGAGCACTGCAAAGTACATTTTTATGAGGGTTTTGGAAAACATAATAATTTAAATAAATGAAATATAACTACACAACTTAAAGTATAAATAACTAAAACCTAAAATATTTACACCGTTTTCAAAAGAGTAATAATAATAAAAATGCTATCTTAAGGTATCAAAAAATAATACATATAATAATACATTTATAAGCATTTTGGAAATTTCCTCGTCACCTGAAAGTAAAGAAAGCGGCGCGTTTATTTTTATACTGTAGTCTTTTATAGGTCTAATACTCATGTGATTGTGATACATACTTAAGGGACTTGCCGTGCCATGATGCGGAGCGAGGGGGACTGGGATGCCGTCTCCTCCTTTTGCGAAGCAGTCATGCTAGCTAAGGAGGAGGCGGGACGCGTGAGGCAGCGAAGCGCTGCCTCCTCGCAACCCAGCCATCGCGAAGGACACACCGGGCGTCGGGGATCGCGGGACGATCTCCGGCCACCGTAAGCGCGGGCCTGCGGACGGCGAGCATGGGTGGCTCGCCGTCCGACCAGAAACAGACCCGAGCGTACGGCGCGTCGCGTTCCGCGCGCGCCTCAAAGAGCCATCAGACCACCACAGATGGGGCCCAATAGGGCCGATGCCGATTCGGAGTCGCGGAGAACCTAACGGGTAACCGGGGCTCCGGCTCGACGTGCAGGAGAAGGAACGGGGTGGTTTTTAGTCAGTAAGAGTCTGACACTCCCTCCCGCCTCACCCAGGCGGGGGCAGTCATTCGATGATTTTCCCCCTTAAAAAAAAAAAAAAAAAAAGGGACTTGCCGTGATCTCCTGTCCTCAGCTGTTTCTGATGAACACCACATTGAAGATTTCGTCTTGGGCACCCATCGATGTCATAGTCGTTATTTTTAAACGAAAATGCTTTGCAATGAATCTAAAAAAGTGCATCGCAAATAATCCGGGTGAAATTTTGATATGGGACTTCTCGACCGACACCCAAGGGTCCATTAACTTGGTGAATAACATTCCTAAATTATTTTTCTAAGCTTATACATGTTTGATGCATGTGTGCATCAACTCTCCTACTATCACGGGCCTGCGGACGGCGAGCACAGGCAGCTCGTCGCCCGACCAGAACCAGACCCGAGCGTACGGCGCATCGCGTTCCGCGCGAGCCTTAGAGAGCCATCAGACCACCACGGATGGGGCCCAATAGAGCTGATGCCGATACGAAGCCGCGGAGGGCTTAACGGGTTACCGGGGCTCCGGCTCGAAGTGCAGGAGTAGGAATAGGGTGGTTTTTGTCAGTAAGAGTCTAACACTCCCTTCCGTCTCACCCAGACGGGAGAAGTAATTCGATGACTTTCCCCCCTTAAAAAAAACTCTCCTACTATGTTTTTATAATAACAGAAATAAAATGTGCGTACTTGTGGACAAACTACAGTCAGCAAAGCTTTTATTGCTTCTTTAGTATCATTCCAGATTACATTTCACAGCCTTTAGTTTTCTGTCAGAACAACACGGGGACTATTAAAAGGAACAACACAATGAATAAATGTTTACAATTTATTAAATTTTGCAATCAATTAAAGCTTTTTCTGTTACATTTGACGAGCGGCTTACTGTTCTAAAATTTCTGCCAAACCTTCGGGTAGCTCTTCGAAGCGTTTTACTTTCGGATCCTTCTCACAAACGAACATAGATTTGTTATCTATGGAGTGATCATCTAAAGTGCCAAGTCGAAGTAAAGCGCCAACGTTCTGCACTCCCTGGTAGTTATCCGGCTGTCCTGGGTTCCAATCATGGAACACATCTTTTATTCTTTCGCCTGTTCATGAAAAGAATGCATATATTAAAAAATTAGGCAGCACCCTTGTGCAGGACCACTGCAGCAGCAAGAGATAGGAAGAGCAGTGTAGACACGCTATAGTTAAATATAGTACGTACGATGAAGACGTGATCACAATTCAACATACGTACACCATACAGACTATATCGCGATGTCTAGATATATAGCTCTTATTACGAACTTCATATATCGCATACTGTTTTAAAAATGTTAACAAACTGATACAAAGGATAAATAGATGAATGAACAGTTCATACCATGGATAGTGATCCAAGTACGTTCAGGCCCCCAAGCCCGCAGCCCCAAGTGGAAGTTCTCCCATTCGTTCACATTTCCTGTCCGTACAGGGAACATTTCCCTGACGATGGCAGCCTCTGTGGCATCGTTCAGTATAAGCAGGTAACCTCCCTCGGCAGCACATATCTTGAACGCGTCGGTCCAAGTCCTATACTCCTCGTGTCTCTTATAACAGCTCCCAGTCTTATCGTAGAATTGATATGCTGGAAAGTTAAATAAACAAAACGTTGGACACCATGAACTAAAGTAAAGTCATAGTCAAAGTCAACCCGTTAATGTAAGGTATATTAGTACACCCAGCTACCATCATCAAATGTTCCACAAATGTTCATCGTCAGATTGTCCAGCTTCTTGTAACAGATGTAGGGCCGAGGTTCCGTGCATTTCGTGATAAACGCTCGGCCGTCGCGTGACATCGCCAGGCAGTCGCCCGCCGTACCTCTCAAATTACTCCATTTCAGCACCAAGTTGTCCAATGGAATTCCTGCAAACAAAAAAGTTAATTTTGTGGTGTATTTTGTTAAAAAGTTTGAATACAATATAAATATTATTATTTAACTATTTATTATTATTATTTAGAACTAGGTAGGTATGCTGTTTCTAATACACTTATGGTCTTATTACGTCTGTAAAAGACAGAGCCGATATGTCTTATATTCGAGCTGTATTAAAAACATAGTAATATTTTTCCAGGTTGATTTGCAATAATAATATGATCATCCATATTTCAACGAATCATACTGTATGTAATGAGGTGCACTATACTTGCACTGGTACTTCACAAAAATCCTTGATTGTCTAGTAATCGCAACCATGAAATCAAAAGGAATGCGTGTATTTCTATACATCTTTATGCGATAGGTTCCTCTGAAGCTAAGGACTTACGGCGCGATTTCCTTCCGCGCCCGCCGCGGTTGCGGCCCGCAGCCTTTATAGAATACAAATATGTATGTAAAAAATCAAAGCAATTTTTACGCCGCGTTTTACGCGGCGCGGTCTGCGATCGGTTGGCGGACGATCGCAATAGGACGGCCAGTCTGGAATTGAACTGATTGAATATATATAATAATAACTAAATTTTCTATACATAGATGGTTGCTAAAATAAAGGTTTAATATAATTACAAATAAATTTACCTTCTACTGAAAAGTAGTCACCATTAGAGTACAAATCGTGTGTCCCTAAGTGGATTGATTGCTGACTGATAACTGAAAATTTGTGTTCAAGAGCTTTACTCAGTTGTTGAGTCAACGGAGACGCAAGCACAGCACCTGGAACAGAACATAGAGCAACATGGTGACATCCATCTGAATTGAACAGAGTTATCAATCAATAATAATGTAATACGGCGTTACTGTTCGCAGCTAAATCAAAGTCCGAAGTCTTCGAGCTAGCTCAAAATGGCTTTAGCACTGTAACAAATTGGCTTCATAAAAATCTTTTAACTTTAAATACTGATAAGACTAAGTACTTATTATTCACTATAAG